GTGGGAGGGATGGAAGGGTGAATGTGGCTTAGGGAGTACCGGCTAGGAGAGCTGCCCTATAGACTTACCCCAAGAGGCCTGAGGATAGTAGTCTGCTCAGAAATATTTTTATCATGTGCTGTAGGTCTGGGCATCACAGCCCAAGGCAAACACCCTGTTTCAGACAGCAGCTGAAGTGATTGGTACCCATTGATGCGTCAGAGGCCACTGCTGTCACTGTTCCCACCATCAGTGCCCCTCCGCTAACATACCTTACTTCCCCCAAAGTCCTGGCATGGGCTCCCAAGTCCCTCATAGTTTTGGGTTCTGTAGAGAAAGCTCGTTAGTGTTGCTTCAGTCCCGTGACTCTCTGAGACTCACAAAGCAGCTCACGAGAATGGGCCGGAGTGCAGGAGAGGCCCCAAAGAGGTGCATTCTTCCTGCAACCATGCTTTCCATCTCACAAATCAGGTGTTACTGATCCTGATTCTTTCTTAAGACAGTGATACAGAACTGACCCCATTTTGCACCCTTCTCAGCCTTGAGTACATTGGGCAAAGGCTGCAGACATTTTGGGTTGTCACACTAGAATGGAAGGATGCTATCAGCATGAAGTTAACGGAGACCAAGGATGTCATTAAACACCCTTCAACAGCTTGTACAGCCTTTCCCATGTAGGCCCAAACTCAGTTCAGTAGTGAATTTAAGGAGCATGCCTAAGAATGAGTTCTCACCCTAGGGATACAAGTTCTCCTTCAAACAGGCCTAGGGCAGTCTTATCCAGTTCATTAGCTCTATCTGGCTGTGCTGGGTCAGTTTCCATATCAGGAACCCAAGTTGAATAGGCCTTTCCCATAGAAATTTCCTTGTAGAATTTTGTTGAGGTTTCCTCTTTGACTGCACACCAATTGGTTTAGCCATGGAGAGAAGCCGCCCAGTAAAACCCAAGCTGTTAAATCTTATAGGCACATCATCTTCCTGCTGAAGTAGCCTGGGCACAGAGATACCAGGTGATCCTTGGAAACCAGTTGTGTGCTATGCTGCCTACACAGCTTGCACAGGTCATCGGAGGCCAGAGCTCAGGATATGAGCAATGGTTCCCACACCTTTGTAACCAGTTCAGTCCTTCAGACTAATAACAGAGCTCAAAGACCACATTGTGCTTTTTACCTCTGGGGAAATAAAAATATTGGTATGGGTAAAGGACTGTAACTCATGTTTACTGACTAAAAATAAATCCTACTCACTCTCTGTACTCCATGTGTGACAATATCCTTGGGGAGAGGAAAGTGTTTTATGGAGGAAAGTGTCCTAAAAAGATAAGGTCTTTGTGATTTAGAAACAGGATTTTTAGTTTCCAGGTTGAGGCAAAGGAAGTGAGCATGTAGTGGTCATGGGAAGCATGCATGTGGCATGATGAACAGCCCGGAGGGGCTCACAAGGCCTGGGCTCCCTGTAATCATGGCATAGTTTCCACCACCTCCCTACCACAGTGTCCTTGGGGATGTCCTAACAGACACAAGCCTGTCACCTCAGGAATCTAGACTGCATTTTCAGGGACAAATCATTAGCAGCACAAAGCATGAATCACAGCTCCTTCCTGTGACTGCCTTTTAACCTTTAACTCTGAAACAAAGACATTTCTGCGTAAACAGTCACCTTAGGCATTACTCTAACCACTTTCTATGTAGCCTTAACACCTAACTAGAGGCTCTTTGTTAAGTCTTATTTCAAGCTATTTTAGCTGTGGGGGGGGAAATCAACTCAAAAGAATTGGCTGCATGACTCTTCTCTACAGCCTTCCTGTCCATTTGAACTATACTGAGCAGCATTCCTAACAAGAACAAAATGACACCCCGAAAGACACTGTATGAGCTTCGTCCACATGATTGGAGGTGGACATGCTGGAGTCCCACTTTGCTAAGGGACATGCTACAGAAGCACTTAGTATCCAGGCCCTCAGTCCCCTGCTAGATAAATTAGAATTAATTGACCCTGACCAAATATAAAATGAGAAATGTGAAGTTTTCTTACCACATGAACATAAAGGAAAATACTTCCCAGTATGTCATAGCTCAGACCACAGGATTTTATTTATTTATTTATTTATTTATTTATTTATTTATTTTATTATTTATTTATTTATTTGAATTGCATACATAAATATTGTCTTTGCATCACTGTAATTCATCCCAGTCCCCCACCAACTCCTCCCATGTCTCCTACTCTCTCTCTCAATTTCCTGTCCTCTTCTTTGATTGTTATTCTTACATATACATACATACATTTTTTTCAGTCTTTTTGAGACAGGGTCTCCCTGTAGCTTCAGCTGGCCTGGAACTCAGTATGTAGACCAGGCTACCTTTGATCTCATAGAGATCTGCCTGCCTCTGCCTCCAGAGTGCTGGTATTAAAGATGTGTGCCACCACATCTGGCCCTATATCCATATATTTATAAATATACATATAATGCACTGAGTCCATTTAGTGTTGCTCTTGTATTTGTTTAGAGCTGCCCATTTGGGATTAGATAACCTCCTAGGGAGCTAGTCTCTCTCTTCCTCAGCATCCATTGATTGCTAGTAGCTCTTCATCTTGAGGAGGGACATTCCCCCCATCTGCTTTGGTATGTCCACTGGTCTTGTTATTATGCAGATATTGGTAGAATATGACACAGTGAAGTTTTCACTGGTGCTGCTTCTAGAATGCAGTAACTAGCAGAACCTGTCTTGTCCCTCTGGCTCTTACATCCTTTCTGCCCCCTCTTTCATGATGTTCCCTGAGCCTTGGGTGTAGAGGCTACAGGGTAGCTGGCACACAGGGTTTTAAAGCATAGTTTCTCCTGTGTGTGAGCTTTCCCTCCACCTTAGCAAAAAAAAGTATTACCTGGAAAGTTTGCCATGGGGAACTTTGGTGTACAGAGACTCTCTCAGAACCAGGCCTGCAGCCAGGCTGAGCCCTACATGCCTCTTGCACTGTGTAAAATAATCATCCCTGGGAATTCTTCCAGACCATTCTCTTCCCTTTTAATCCATCTTCCTGAACGATTCCCAGCTTCAGGGCCCCAGCCATTCCAGCCCAGAGAATTTACTATGCTGTCTGAATTCTACCTGTCTGATTTCTTTATTTGAGCTCATTTTATTTTTCAAGTACTTTTTTAAGGACAGGAACCTTACCTTCTTTTGTCTGACATGTTTCCCAGCAAGTCCAGGAAGGTAGGCCTTCCTTTTTAATGTTATAACAAACAGCATATTAAGTAATCTGACCCCTGTAAGTAGAACCTAGATACTTCTGGAATCTGTGATGTGGATTATTGTTTGAGGGTTAAAGAACATGAATATGGAAGGTAAAAGTAACAAAGTGGGAGGCTAGAGAAATGGCTCAGCTATTAAAAACACTGACTGCTCTTGCAGAGGACCCGGGTTCTCAGCACCCACATAATGGCTAACAGCTGTCTGCAACTCCAGTTCCAGGGGATCCAACTTCCTCTGACCTCCATAGGCCTTGCACGACATGGGTGCACTCACATACATGCAGGCAATACACTCATATGCATAAAATAATAATAAATAAATAAATAAAAATTTTAAAATAACAAAACGAATGGAGGATATAGAAAATACCAAATTGTCACAAAATACCATCCCACAGGCAGAGTCTTTCCACTGATCCGCTCCCAGGAAACACCTGTGCTAACAGTATATGCACATACACACGTATAGATACACGTACACATAAATATTTGTGCACATGTGTTTACATGTATAAACATGTATTTATATGCATGTATACTTCACATTGACACACACATACATGTGTGGACTAAACCCTCAGCAGAACTTACCATATGAACTAGGTGTTAATATTGAAAGAATAAGATTTACAAATGACAAATAAACTTTGGTGAGGAGCAGGTCTGAACCAGTGAAAAGCCAGAGCCCTGGACTCGACTGGGCTCAGCCAAATGGTTGCTTTGCCAGGGACCCTGGATTATGAGGTGCCAGGTGCTGAGGCGATCATACAAAAAGAGTCACACAAAAAGAAGTTTCATGTACAGAAACTTTGCTTTCAGTAGGTAAAGACTCACTCTATAGGGACTGTGTCAGAGGGAGCCCTCAGTTTTGAAGCACATCTTTGTACCCTTGACTCTCCTCCCAGGCTTTTGTTTGCTTCCAGTTGAACAGAAATTATTTAATCGAAACCTTTAGGCCTAAGGTTGTGTATTTCTACCACACTGCTCAACTGCGGGAGGAAGGAGTTTCCTTACCACCTGCCTGGAAGGGTGGGATACAAACATGTCATTCCCTTGACAGTCCTGGTAACACTGGGTGTTTCCAAAGGTTCCCATAGTTCTAACGAAAGAATTTCTCTTTACCTTTGATCATTTGGTATTGAGGATTGCTGGTGTTTGCCCCACAGACGGGAAAAGAGCCACAGACACGTTCTCATCTTCACCCCCCTCTGGACTTTAGCTTTCTCATCTGTAACATGGAACCCATGTGGTATATCTCATAGACTTCCCAGCATCCTTTCCATAGCAATCTGAGCCCCAGGGTCTAAGCCAGAGCCCCATTGTATCTATGATGCCTGACATCTGTTATTTTTATTTGCCACATCTGCTTTTTTAAATTTGTTTTCCTGATACGATATCTGAGAATTATGGAAACAGAGTGACCAACCAGAACTGTCTGTGATGTTCATCTCTACTCAGTTTACTTCAAACACTTATAGGTGTTGACTTGTATCTTCCTGTTAATGTGAAAACAGGACTAGACATGTATGTGTTTTGTTTTCCAGGGAGATGTGTATTCAACAGGATGGGAGAGTTCATCTCACTGTGGTTTACTTCGGGAAAGAAGAAATGAATGAAGTCAAAGGAATACTCGAAAATACTTCCAAGTGAGTACACTCTGGTGCCTTAGCGAGGAGTCATGGCAACCGGGCTAGAAGCACACACCTCAGACTCGGAATTCTGCTTGGTTTTATTTACCTTAACACTATGGACAAACTAGGAGATTGGTTTTTGGCTGCACATAGGACCACCTGGTCTGACACGGGTCCTCCTTGTGCAGGGGTGATGGTTTTGACCTGGAGGTAAACTGCCTGGCACAGCAGAGTGCCAAGTGTAGGCTTCTAAGACTTCCTGTGTAACTAGAGGTTATCACTGTTAGCCCATAGATTTGGGACTTACTTCTGTGTTTATAGAGTCAGATTTAGGGAGGACACACCAGTGAGCTCCATGTCAGCTGCTGCCTGACAGTCCGAGTGAGGTCCAGGTGCAACTCTCACCCATGCAGCAAATGTTCTCCCTCGTCTGCCTTTTGTTCCTTATGCATATATGACATCAGGGAAGCCCAGAGGGGGGGCTGAGGCCGAATCTTTGATTAGACACCCCCAGTTCAACAGAAAATACTTAATCAAAACCTTTAGATCTGGGCAAGGGAGCGACTCCAGATAGGCTGACTAGACTCCACTGGATGGACTTCACTGAAGGACATCTAGGTACACAAACTTGACTCAGTAGGCCTTAACATTATATGACAGAATGCATAATATCTGGTGGGGGGGTATGGAGTTCAGATAAGGGAGGGGGCAGAAAGATGATTGAAATGTTTTGTATGAAATGCACAAAAATTCAATAAAAAATATACATTGGAAAAAAAGACTTTGGGCCCGAGGTTGTATATTTATACCTCATTGATCAAGGGCAGAGTGAAAAAATATATTTCAAAAGCAGCAAGGATGGATTTTGTTTCTCTACAAAGATAAAGAACCCCCTACCAATGAGTGAGGAAGCCAGCGTGACACCGTCCTGGTCTGCTTTGGCCTGCTGTACAGGTACACAGGCCTAGTTGAGAAAGCAGGTCGGTAGCTTTGATATACCTGAAGCTTTGACAGCTGTAGTAGTACACACTGATATAACTAGTCTGAGCAGGTCTGTATTATTTAAGTATAAACAGGACCATCTATTGTGAATTTCTGGTAAACGATAATAAGATGCGTTTTAGCTAGCTTTCTGTTGCTGTGATAAAACACTGCCAGAACCGACTTGGGTAGGAAAGGGTTTATTGAATCTTATTCTTCCAAGTGACAGTTCATCAATGAGGGAAGTCAAGGCAGGAACTTACGCAGGGCAGGAACCTGAAGGGCAGGAATTGAAGCAGAGACCACAGAGAAATGCTGCTTAGAGCTTGCTTTCCTGGCCTGTGCTCAGCCTGCTTTCTTATACGACCCAGGACCACCTGCCTAGGGGTGGCACCTCCCACAGTGGGCTGGACCCTCCCACATCACTCAGTGATCAAGAAAATGTCTCAGAGACATTTCCACAGGCCAATCTGAAAGACAAAATTCCCAAATTGAGGCTTCCTCTTCCCAGGTGTGTCAAGTTGTCAACTGAAGTTGTCCAGCCCTGGGTAAAATTCTAAGGTGGAGTGCACTTTCTGTGTTTGTTCTTGTGCTGTTACCAACGTTGTGCCAGTGGACACAATTAAACTCTTCAGACATTCTGAAAGCAGAGATCACAAGTCATAGCTCAATGGCCAAACTTGCCTGCCACCTGTTTTTGTGAATAAGTTTTATTGAAATGCAACCAGGTCCATGATTTACATATTATTGATGGCTGTAAGTCTCACAAAGCCTAAACAATTAACTATCTGGTTCTTTATAGAGAAACAAAATTGTTTGTCTTTGTTCTAAAGCAATAAGACCTAAAAGTTTTAAAGAATAAACAACCTAAAGTTAAGGCCTGGTGTCAGAGGGGCATCAAATAGAATAGAATAATTGAATCTCTGAAATGTAAGTTAGATAGGAATCTCTCAGATCCAATCATTGTAGCATCCTCTTCCTCTTCTTATTGATGACAGATGAATGGTTAGGATTCCTGTTCCCTGTCCAGTGCTTAAGCATCTTTGCCAGCATCCATTCCTGGACAGAAATTTTTATAAGTTTTCCAGGTGACTCAACATGTAGTTAGGTTGAGAACCACTACAAGAAAGGGACATGTCCTCACCTAGGGGGGCTGCACCCTGAACAAGGCAGCTGTTATACTCCAAGGTATTTTATGTATCTGCCCAGGTGACTCCACTATGCAAACAGAACTGGTAAATTCTGTCCTCTTGGGTTTGGCATTTTTTTCAGTACCTCAAAGGATGGTGAGACACTTGCTGATTGTTATACAGATTCAGGTTCATAGACAGATTAAGTAGAAGGCTAGTTTAGACATGTTATGGGAAGTACTCTTGCTAGTGACTGAAAGGCTTAAGTACTTTATTCAAGGGATTCTTTTCCATATCAGAGTACCTGTAAGCAGACTTCTCACCCAAAAGACTGCTTGATGAGCGAAGAATGCTTAGAATCTGAAAAAGAAAAGTGAAATCATTTGAGTCATAAGGCACGGCTTACCTGAAATATTGGAAAATACTCAGAAATGAATCCCACCTTCCCAAATAGAAAACTTCATGGTAAAGACAGCTCGGACCCACGCTTTAAAGTAATGAATGCTATGCAAACTTTGGTAAAAATAACTCGCACCCCATTTTCTGTGTGGATACCCTTGTTCTTTTAGTGGATGATGTCAGCTTGTTGGTGCCAGTGATGCTTTGGGACACGTCTTGCCCCTTACCATGATCTCATTGAGCAGTTCATCTCCTGTGGAAATGCTTAAACCTCTGTAGTGGCTGAGATGCTCTCTCTCTCTCTCTCTCTCTCTCTCTCTCTCTCTCTCTCTTTCACCTTCCAAATGGATCTTCTGCCATCAGCCGTACCTTAGTCTGCTACAAAATGGGCTCTTATTTCCAACCTTGTCTTGATGAGTTAGAGCTCTCCAGCCAAGCTGGGCTCATAATTGACCTTTGTCCTCACTTCCACTGGGAGTCCCTCCACACCACTTTCTTTATTCAGAACTCTAACCATCCATTCTCATCTTAGGCTCCTCTGTGGAGTTCTTCTTGACTCCCAGCCTCTGAGCCTTGGGCTCGCTGAACTCTAGCCACATTTTCAGTATTACTTACACTTGACATATGGTACGTGATTCAGTGACTTAACATTTCTATCATTCTAACTTGACAACTAGATTATAAGCTATTCAGTAACTGGTACTATGTCTCATGCATCTTTGTAACTCCATGAGTACAAAGTAACTCCATGAGCTCTTGACATGAGTATATTCATCAAGGGAATAGTGGTACCAGGTAATTACTAAATTGGGATGCAAGGTAATATATAATATGTAAGCTATCTGAGGCTTTAGTTAAATATCTTTATCATTCTTTTTTTTCTTTCTTTCTTTGAGACAGGGTCTCCCTGTAGCCCCAGCTGGCCAGGAACTCACTATGTAGACCAGGCTGGCCTTGAACTCACAGAGATCCACCTACCTCTACCTTCCAACTGCTGGGATTAAAGGTGTGTGCCACAACACCTGGCATCATTCTTTTAAGGTGGAAAAAAACATTTGTTCAAGGGCATTTTGTTTTGAATAATAGTTATTTGCATGAATTCTCTTATTTAATATCCATAGCTTTTTGCATTTGCATGGCATGCACATGTTTATGCATTTATGCATCTTCACATGTGTATGTGTAGGTGCGCATGTACATGTGTGCACATGCATGTGGAAGCCCAAGGTTGATGTTGGGTGTGTTCCTCATCTGTCTCTAGTTTAACATAGTGAGGTGGGGTCTCTTGTTGAACCTGGAGCTCATAGTCGCTGTTAATCTGATCAGACACTTGCTTCTGGGATTCCCTATCTCTCCTTCTCTCCTTCCTGCTTGCTGAGATTACAGGTAGGCCACCACACCCAAGTTTTATGTGCGTTCTGTGTTTCTAAACTACAGTCACCATACTTGTATGGCAAACACTTTACCTGCTGAGCCATCTCCCCAGCCCCTCACGGCAACTTTTGAAGATGCTGTTATTAGCTCTATTTCAAGATGAGGAAACTGGGGTTTAGGAGGTTGTTCCTCAGGCTCTCAACCCACGCACACAGCAGATCCAGGAGCTGACCTGCCCTAGTTAAAATCCAGGGCTCACAGTCTTAACATAGCCTTACATTTTAACTCCTCTTTGCCCCTTCTAAAACCCATAATTATTGGTTGGAACTCATAAGATTTGTAATCAGGCTAAATGAAATTCCCTTCATTTGAAGATCTGTAATGTAATTAAAACTGTTCTAAATTCAGCTAAATACAAACATTTTAAGAATATCTAAAAATAAAGTCTTGTTTAATGACGAGTTTGCAGTGTTTTATGCTCTCTTTCCCTGGGTTTACACTTCCTCAATAGAGCTTTATATTTCAACTGATTGCTACAGATCTGTGTTTTGCAAACTCTAATTTGTGATTCATTAGAGAATTGTGAAATCGATTTAGTGGGCTTTATCCAATGTTTTTGAAAAATGGAATAGAGTAGGCTATAAAATTTTCAGAATGAATTGCAGATAATACGCATAAATATTGTTTCATGAAACCTTAATTTCAGTGCATAGGCCTGTGTGCATGTCCATGTCTTGTGATATAACAATAGTATGTTTCTTTAAAAGGATTGTGGTTCAAATGTTTGCAAGCCATAAACAGTGGTACAAATCAGTTTCCAATACCTGATTCTTAATCTACAAATTTTTCCAGGACTCATTTTATGGCCAATGAAAGCCTCGTTCAGTGGCTCATAGATACACAAATACTTTGGAGTAACCTGGGTTTCTTTTTAAAATGCAGAATATTTGGACCCAGCCCCAGACATTCTGAATCATCAAGCTTGAGATGCAGCCTGAGAACCAGTACTTGAAACCAGTTCCATGTGCAATGCTGTGTGTGGTCCATGGGTCACACTTTGAGAAACACTGGTCTAGGCAGACATTTGATTGGAACTGTGTAATGGGAATTTTTATTGTTAGTTGTAGATGG